GTGCAGGCATTCTGGAGGAGCGGGGGCGGCACCTTCCCCAGGTATAAAAACCGCAGAGTCAGAAGGGAAGGGGGCAGCGAGGAAGAGGATGCCGAATGAAGGGACTGAGAAGCACGAGGAAGCAGCGTGACAGCGGGACAAGCCGACTGGAGAGCGGACAAGCGAGGGCGTGAGGAAGCAGCCCAGGGCGGCTGATGTGTTGAGGCTCTGTGCCCCATCAGCCAGGTTGGGGGAGAGAGGTTAGTCGTCCCCGTCTTAGGGCCCTGGGCTGGGGTCTGGAGAGAGGGTGGGCCCGGACCCCCCCTCACCTCCTCGCTCGAGGGACGGCATGAAGGACAGACAGACTTTCTGGAAAGCTCAAGAAATTCTGCTATGGTCCCGGTTTCCTATATCCAAACATTAAAGGTTCAGCACAAGATACAAAAGCACACTGAAGCTGGCAATTTTCCTCATTGTTTTGAGTCCCCATCTATCCCCCTCTACTAATGTCTCCTTAAATGTTTAGTATTTTAATTTTGTTCAACATACTGGTTACTGAAACAAATAACTAGGGGCACTTAAAAGTTCATTCCTGCCCTAGAGAGTTTATGGAATTCAGCAATATTCACCATATGTGCTGCAAATCTCTCTAGAACTAGAATGAACTATAAGTGTATCCACTACATATAATCCTAATGTTATGCAAAAATTCTTAGTAATAAAACAAATACAATTATTTTCCGTAAATATTAATTAAAATGTTTTTAGAAGCTGGCCAGAAGAGGTCAGCAGTGCTAGCTTTCGGGAAACAGAGATGGACAGGAATGAACATAAAGAAAGAAATGGAGTAAGGTGGCACAATTTACCTGTATAAATCTCTTCCTACATCATCTTGGTTTACTGCATATCCCGTATCATCGGTAAAACTAAAGCCAGTGCCAACCTGAAAATGAAACAAAAACTCATGAGATACGAGAACAAAATTGCTTCTAGCTCCTTAATGCTTTATATTTGGGGGAGGAGGGACGCGGGGAGGAGGAAACTATGTGGCAAATAATATTGAATTTAGTGAGAAACCATATACTTTACACAAAAAATGTAATTTAGGTTAAAACTAATGATGGCATTTAAAAAGTTAAAAACTTTATTTCTGTACTCAAGACAGACTTATTCTCTGTTCTGTTTTCAGAGCAGGTCATCTCACCAAATGGTGCAAAACAAACCTTAACTTTCATCTTGGCAAATAAGAAAAAGTGGCAATATATTCTTGATCCTTTTCTAAAATTCCAAAAATACTTTTAACTATACTTTGTTAGTAATTTGTAAATCACAGTCCATACCTATCACACTGTAGCATGAAGAGTCTTCCAGTATCACATAAAGTGATGCAACTAACATTTGTCAAATTCTCCTACATGTTTAAAAAATAGATTACCACAAAAAAGTTTCAGAATGGAGCTTGAAAGTAGAATTATCAAGACAACTTTTTAAAGGTATACATTTCTCTCACCTGTCCCTTTACAACAGAGGTGGGGAACCTTTTTTGAGTTGGGTGCCACTGACCCACACAAAAAAAAAAAAAAAAAAAATCAGTCCGGAAGCTCCATACCACACTTGTGAGAAGCGAAAAAAAACCCAAAACTCTCACTGATGTGGCCCCTGACTGAGAAGGAGAAAGACACTCCCCACATTCCCCTCACGCACCAGAGCCTGGGGCTCCCAGGCTAGTAGATTCTTTGTGCTCCAGCCTCACGGTAGAGCAGCAGGGGGGCTAGAGCACCAATGCTGGGGTGGCCCTGAACCTAAGGGGACCAGATCCAGGCAAGCTGGGGATCACATCCAGCCCCAGGGCCTGAGGTTCCCCACCCCTGCTTTACAATATAAAATAGACAGTACACCTATGCATACACTTTCATATTATGTACTTACTGGATTGTCAATGTAAAGCATGGAAAATTTAGATGTCCAAGGAAACTTCCGTTTATACACTATTA